ATATATATAAATAAAGTTTTCAAAATATTAAACTTTGAATAAAGAAAAAAATATTTTTTGTCAACATTTTTTATTATTTTTATTATTTTTTTAAAATTATGTCATAAATATTTTAAAGTCATAAATATATTTTTTTCCTATAATTTTATTTTTTCATTTAAATAATAAATTTAAAAATATCAATGAAAAGATCTGTCAGCAGAGGGCGATACCTGTTGAGTCACGTTGTTTTTTTTTTTTCCTTCCCCGGAAATGTAGGCGTGTTTGTTATTGTTGTTTTATTTTATGTTTTATTCTATATTTTATTCAGTTGTTATTTTTGTCTTTTTAATAACTTAAAAGCTTTATACTTTTACTGTTTATAAATTTAAAATTTGTTGAATTTACTTGTAACTGCTTTAAAAATGATAAAATGAACGAAGGATCTGAAGTTAGAGAGAATAGGAGTGAAAGCAATATCAGATATCGAATTTTCAAGCATGTAACCAATGACCCAGGTGATGTTGGATCGCCTCTACCAGAAGATGATGATGAAACACACCATTTCTTTGCTAAAGTAAGATTTATGTATTATGCTATGCAACATTTATTGCTAATTTCATGCTTTTTTTAAATTTTAAATGACTTTATAACATTTTATCTTTTATAATTAAATTATTTACAGCATGTTAACTCTTCCAATAAACATTTAATGTCTGAATTAAATTCTTTCATTTAGAATTTGAATATTATAAAGATTTAATTTGCTTTTACATCTAGCAAATGTATTATATGTAAATTATGATTAGATTTATTTAAAAAAATATATATTTTTGAATATTAATAAAAACATTACTATATGTAATTTCAATGGTATTCAATTTGTTTTATTTATTATTTTTATATTTGTATTTTGATAAAATCATTGTATTTTTACAAGGATAAATTTAATCTAAATTTTATCTAAATTAAATACTCTTATCAAAACATACATAAAGATAAACAATATAAGGTGACAAAATACAAGTAACTAACTTTATAGATTAAACTCTAAATACAAAAAGAAGAGACTTTGTCAGACAAAATTTTGTTTAAGATAAATTACTGTATACCACTTGTGTTCTATATACTTTATTTTCAAGATTTATTTTAAAATCTGAGTTTATTTAAAACAGATATGGTGATTTATGTTGATTAAAATAATACACGACCTGTATATTAGTACTACATTCCCCCCTCTGCAAATGGATGTTTACATTTTGAAAAGTTATTATTTATTAATTGAAATTATAATAAACAATGCATTGGAAGTCTTAATGTATTATTTTAATTAAAATAATTCAATGAGTTATTTATTTAGTTCTTTTTTATTGTTTACATAAAATCTATGTTTACATAAAAACAAAAATTTTAGTAGTTCAAATTTAAGTATATTTAATTAAAAATTAAATATTTAGATTAGATTTTTATTATTCTAGCTACTGTTTTCTTATATCTCTAGTCTTTAAAATTTTGATAGATATTCAAATTGATTTTTTTAAAGGCATATATTTGATTAAATAAGTAAAGTAATAGATTCTGTTGTGGTTTAGCCAATCAAATGTGAATCTTTGATTGATATAATGCAGTTGAGACAACATTCAATTTTAATCTCTATTTTCTTCTAGTCTTGGACAGAAAAAAGTAATTAACATATTTATTTTTATAGATATATTAAAATTTAATAATATATATTAAAATTTAATATATCTTAATAACATTATTTATTTTTAAGTATGTTAAATAAGTAATATGGGCTATTAAAACTGTTATCAAACATGATAAATGAAGATTGATCAAGTGTTTGGTAATAGTTTGCAGTATTGCTAATCCAACTATACTTAATTCTAACCAATTTTATTTTAACATTAAACATTCCAGCTAAAAACAAAGAAACCTTAGATTATTTTTAAAATATAATAAATTAGCATGCATTACACATTTTAAAATAAATATATGCAACAAATACAGTATTTTAAAAGAATTTAAATATTTATATATTGTATGTTGTCCTTTTTGACTTCCTTTTCTTTATAAATAACTTCACTAATTTGAAAAACTCTGTACAATAATAGTCCAGATTAGCAAGAGCATACTATATTTGATTATGTTTTAAAATTGATAATTATATTTTCATTACACAAATTTATTATTTTTCTATATATACTGTTTATTAAATAAAGGTGGTTTGTAAAATCTGCCATGAAGGTACATTGGGGAGAGAGGGTGTACAGCCTTTCTGATTTCAATCTAGCCAGAAAATTGAGTTGGGTAGTCAATACCTTGATATTACTAACTTTACACATAGAGATCACCCTCTAATATCCATTCGGAAGGAACCTTAGGTGCATAAGTCATGACAGACAGAAATCATTTTCCATTAGGATTCAATCACAACTCATTCACTTGGTGCTGTAACTAGCCATTCCTGTGCTCTGTGCAAGACATTGCATTTAGGCCCCTTAATTAATTAGGTTTGGGAAAATAATAAAACAAATACAGTAATACCTCGACTTACGCGAACCTGGAGTTACGCGATTTTCAAATCGCGTCGATTCGTCTTTTGTTTGAGCGCCACTCAGCTCTCGATTACTCACTCCCCCCACACTATTGTTCAGCTTACANGATTATTTTTAAAATATAATAAATTAGCATGCATTACACATTTTAAAATAAATATATGCAACAAATACAGTATTTTAAAAGAAATTAAATATTTATATATTGTATGTTGTCCTTTTTGACTTCCTTTTCTTTATAAATAACTTCACTAATTTGAAAAACTCTGTACAATAATAGTCCAGATTAGCAAGAGCATACTATATTTGATTATATTTTAAAATTGATAATTATATTTTCATTACACAAATTTGTTATTTTTCTATATATACTGTTTATTAAATAAAGGTGGTTTGTAAAATCTGCCATGAAGGTACAGTACATTGGGGAGAGAGGGTGTACAGCCTTTCTGATTTCAATCTAGCCAGAAAATTGAGTTGGGTAGTCAATACCTTGATATTACTAACTTTACACATAGAGATCACCCTCTAATATCCATTGGGAAGGAACCTTAGGTGCATAAGCCATGACAGACAGAAATCATTTTCCGTTAAGATTCAATCACAACTCATTCACTCAGTGCTGTAACTAGCCATTCCTGTGCTCTGTGCAAGACTTTGCATTTAGGCCCCTTAATTAATTAGGTTTGGGAAAATAATAAAACAAATACATGTATTTTGGGTCCCCCTTCCAAGTGGGCCCTGTGCGGGTGCACATGTTGCACCTGCCTAGTTACAGCACTGCATTCACTCAATAGTATTCATATCATATTGGTAGATTACTCTTGGGGCCTCAATATATANCCGAGAATGAATCAAAAGATGAGATAAGATTAACAAGAACATTTATTAGCTTACATACATCCGATTTGGATTTTACACAAATTGCGAAATTATACCCCGACTTACGCGAATTCGACTTATGCGGTTATCGCTCGGTCCCTCCTATCGCGTAAGTTCGGGGTATCACTGTACATGTATTTTGGGTCCCCTTCCAAGTGGGCCCTGTACAGGTGCACATGTTGCACCTGCCTAGTTACGGCACTGCATTCACTCAATAGTATTCATATCATATTGGTAGATTACTCATGGGGCCTCAATATATATACCCAGGGTGGCCAAGCTCCTTGATAGTCCGAGCCATTTTTCAAAATTTGAAATTTCTCGTGAGCCGCAATTAAATATGTATTAAAAAGGTATGCAAAAAATTCCAGAATACAAATTATATCCGTAGCAAGAGTGATACAAATTGTTTCCTCCAGAGCACAATGTCAACTGTCCGTTGCAATGACAGTTTACAAATTCAAAATCGGTCTGGAGTCGGTCGATAACGGACGATTACGCCACTGTTTATGTTCGTTCGCGCAGTTTTCGATGAGTCATATCATTCTTAACTTGGACGGAAATGAAATTTGTTACAACGTTGCACTTAGTCTTTCATATTTGTTGTTAGTAATTTAAAAGACATTTTGAAACACATACGGAACGATGATAATTTTTAAAAATATAATAACACAAAAATGAAAAGGGAACTCGGGTACATCTATAGAGAGCCACAAATAATCCTTCAAAGAGCCACATGTGGCTCGCGAGCCGCAGGTTGGCCACCCCTGATATATACATATAGTAATTTATATATATAAATATTATTCAACATTATGCATTTTATTTTCCTGGCTGTTATATATACATAACAAGGAAAAGTATTGGAATCACGTCAAACTTTTAACATATAAGCGTTAAATTATATATGTATGTCACTAAATTGACAAGCGCTTTCCAGGATACACACTTTCGTCTTCTTCATTTAACGCTTATATGTTAAAAGTTTTTCGTAACAAATGATTAGTGTGCTATCTATCACTATATTATAGAATCACATCAAATTTGTCCCTTCAAGTTTTTTACAAATCTCTACATTTTGAGACCCCTGAACCTGAAAAGTCAAAGAAAACAGGAAAAATTTCATAGATAGTGTGTGTGTTGGCATCTGTTTTGTTTAGTATCTTGGGAAGGGGTAAAGATTAAGAAACAAAATTTGCCATGGTAGCTTGTGTTTAAGGGACATTGATGATATTAAATTTTGGTTGTGAAAGGTCAAGAGGGTGGAGAGACAAAGAGTATCTAAATTAAATACTCTTATCAAAACATACATAAAGATAAACAATATAAGGTGACAAAATACAAGTAACTAACTTTATAGATTAAACTCTAAATACAAAAAGAAGAGACTTTGTCAGACAAAATTTTGTTTAAGATAAATTACTGTATACCACTTGTGTTCTATATACTTTATTTTCAAGATTTATTTTAAAATCTGAGTTTATTTAAAACAGATATGGTGATTTATGTTGATTAAAATAATACACGACCTGTATATTAGTACTACATTCCCCCCTCTGCAAATGGATGTTTACATTTTGAAAAGTTATTATTTATTAATTGAAATTATAATAAACAATGCATTGGAAGTCTTAATGTATTATTTTAATTAAAATAATTCAATGAGTTATTTATTTAGTTCTTTTTTATTGTTTACATAAAATCTATGTTTACATAAAAACAAAAATTTTAGTAGTTCAAATTTAAGTATATTTAATTAAAAATTAAATATTTAGATTAGATTTTTATTATTCTAGCTACTGTTTTCTTATATCTCTAGTCTTTAAAATTTTGATAGATATTCAAATTGATTTTTTTAAAGGCATATATTTGATTAAATAAGTAAAGTAATAGATTCTGTTGTGGTTTAGCCAATCAAATGTGAATCTTTGATTGATATAATGCAGTTGAGACAACATTCAATTTTAATCTCTATTTTCTTCTAGTCTTGGACAGAAAAAAGTAATTAACATATTTATTTTTATAGATATATTAAAATTTAATAATATATATTAAAATTTAATATATCTTAATAACATTATTTATTTTTAAGTATGTTAAATAAGTAATATGGGCTATTAAAACTGTTATCAAACATGATAAATGAAGATTGATCAAGTGTTTGGTAATAGTTTGCAGTATTGCTAATCCAACTATACTTAATTCTAACCAATTTTATTTTAACATTAAACATTCCAGCTAAAAACAAAGAAACCTTAGATTATTTTTAAAATATAATAAATTAGCATGCATTACACATTTTAAAATAAATATATGCAACAAATACAGTATTTTAAAAGAATTTAAATATTTATATATTGTATGTTGTCCTTTTTGACTTCCTTTTCTTTATAAATAACTTCACTAATTTGAAAAACTCTGTACAATAATAGTCCAGATTAGCAAGAGCATACTATATTTGATTATGTTTTAAAATTGATAATTATATTTTCATTACACAAATTTATTATTTTTCTATATATACTGTTTATTAAATAAAGGTGGTTTGTAAAATCTGCCATGAAGGTACATTGGGGAGAGAGGGTGTACAGCCTTTCTGATTTCAATCTAGCCAGAAAATTGAGTTGGGTAGTCAATACCTTGATATTACTAACTTTACACATAGAGATCACCCTCTAATATCCATTCGGAAGGAACCTTAGGTGCATAAGCCATGACAGACAGAAATCATTTTCCATTAGGATTCAATCACAACTCATTCACTTGGTGCTGTAACTAGCCATTCCTGTGCTCTGTGCAAGACATTGCATTTAGGCCCCTTAATTAATTAGGTTTGGGAAAATAATAAAACAAATACAGTAATACCTCGACTTACGCGAACCTGGAGTTACGCGATTTTCAAATCGCGTCGATTCGTCTTTTGTTTGAGCGCCACTCAGCTCTCGATTACTCACTCCCCCCACACTATTGTTCAGCTTACATGTTCAGACGTGTCGCGCAGAATCGACACATAGCTACAATTTATTTTGTGTTATTTATTTCTGTGTTTGATATATCTACGGAGACTTGAGAGACTCTATGTGGTGATTTCTTGTAACTGCGAATGAATCAAAAGATGAGATAAGATTAACAAGAACATTTATTAGCTTACATACATCCGATTTGGATTTTACACAAATTGCGAAATTATACCCCGACTTACGCGAATTCGACTTATGCGGTTATCGCTCGGTCCCTCCTATCGCGTAAGTTCGGGGTATCACTGTACATGTATTTTGGGTCCCCTTCCAAGTGGGCCCTGTACAGGTGCACATGTTGCACCTGCCTAGTTACGGCACTGCATTCACTCAATAGTATTCATATCATATTGGTAGATTACTCATGGGGCCTCAATATATATACCCAGGGTGGCCAAGCTCCTTGATAGTCCGAGCCATTTTTCAAAATTGAAATTTTTCGCGAGCCGCAATTAAATACGTATTAAAAAGGTATGCAAAAATTCCAGATTACAAATTATATCCGTAGCAAGAGTGATACAAATTGTTTCCTCCAGAGCACAATGTCAACTGTCCGTTGCAATGACAGTTTACAAATTCAAAATCGGTCTGGAGTCGGTCGATAACGGACGATTACGCCACTGTTTATGTTCGTTCGCGCAGTTTTCGATGAGTCATATCATTCTTAACTTGGACGGAAATGAAATTTGTTACAACGTTGCACTTAGTCTTTCATATTTGTTGTTAGTAATTTAAAAGACATTTTGAAACACATACGGAACGATGATAATTTTTAAAAATATAATAACACAAAAATGAAAAGGGAACTCGGGTACATCTATAGAGAGCCACAAATAATCCTTCAAAGAGCCACATGTGGCTCGCGAGCCGCAGGTTGGCCACCCCTGATATATACATATAGTAATTTATATATATAAATATTATTCAACATTATGCATTTTATTTTCCTGGCTGTTATATATACATAACAAGGAAAAGTATTGGAATCACGTCAAACTTTTAACATATAAGCGTTAAATTATATATGTATGTCACTAAATTGACAAGCGCTTTCCAGGATACACACTTTCGTCTTCTTCATTTAACGCTTATATGTTAAAAGTTTTTCGTAACAAATGATTAGTGTGCTATCTATCACTATATTATAGAATCACATCAAATTTGTCCCTTCAAGTTTTTTACAAATCTCTACATTTTGAGACCCCTGAACCTGAAAAGTCAAAGAAAACAGGAAAAATTTCATAGATAGTGTGTGTGTTGGCATCTGTTTTGTTTAGTATCTTGGGAAGGGGTAAAGATTAAGAAACAAAATTTGCCATGGTAGCTTGTGTTTAAGGGACATTGATGATATTAAATTTTGGTTGTGAAAGGTCAAGAGGGTGGAGAGACAAAGAGTGATCATGTGTCATATCTCAAGTGGGATTGGACTTAATGAAGATTTTTCTTATTCTTAGCATTTAGTTTTTTATAAATCTCATATCTACCATCAAAATTAGGCTTTTTCCCATTTTATAATTATTAAATATATAGAAACTTTTTATAACAAAATCTGATAACAGATGGCACCACACACTATTTCTTTATTATGATTATAATACATGTACTGTACATTTTATTTAAAAAATAACTAACTGTATTTATGCTATTAGGTTGCTATAGGAATGAGGAAGCAAACAAAATTTATTTATTTATTTTTCTGTTCCCTTAGCAACAGAAGGCTTATATTACATTAATTGATAATCAGAAGAATTCTTGGTGTTAGACACAAAGTTTGAAAGCACTAGAACTTATGTTCTTTTATTTTGTTTTTAAACTGTATTAAAAACATATATTTTGTCATTAAATATGTGCAATCAGTAAAATTATCATTGGTAGAAATTATATCTGAAGAAGAATAAAAAATAAATGCCTCTTGGATACAAAGTAGTAAAGTGTTAAAATGTATATAGAAAATAATTAAATTTTAAAGTAAACCTAACTTGCTTAAAAATATTTGTTTTATATTTCAGGGACGAGATTTAGAAAGTGCATATGTCAATCATAAATATACAGAGAAAGAAAGAGAAATTCTTAGAAAATATGAAAGTTTGGATTATTTACCTCCTCATAGTAAAGTCTACAAAGATTGGCTTACAAGACAACCTTCACGGTAAATTTGAATTGATTTAATATACAATTAACATTAGCAAATTAATTATTAGCTACTATCATATTTCTAAAAATCTGTTTTCAGATGATAATTTCTGAGAGAGAATAAAATAATTCTAATTCTTAATATATTTAAGAACATTTATGTATGTCTTAAATAATTTTTATAATTTTCATAATTGTATAAACTGCTGTTGTAAAGAAAAAAGTTATTAAATTTATTTATTACTTTAATCATTTTTTACCTCTATTAAGATTGGATTGGGACCGGTGGATAATGATGGGATTGATAGGATTTTGTGTAGGAATGGTTGGATTTCTTCTTCATCAAGTGATTGATTTATTCGCCGATTTTAAATGGGAGAAGGCACGAGAATTTATTCGAGTGAGTTAATGATGAAGAGCAATTGAAAATTAGCTACGTATAAAATGTAATAAAGTTAAGATTTAAAAAATTATATTATTTATTCTAATGTATTAGTTACTGTAATATCCCATACTTTATACATTATAATATTTCTTTTCATGCCTAGATATAAAATTAGAAAATATGCTGTAATAATCTTATTGTGCACAACTTTGATTTTCATAGTTTTGAATTTCAATTTACACTAGCAATACTATTAATTTATAAACTTTTTGTTTGAAAAAATGAAAAATTATTAATTTTATTTGTGTCATAAAAATTAATTTTGGAGTTGATGATAAACATCATCTCCAAAATTTATATTTATTACTGTCTTCTTAAACTTACAAAAGAAACTGCTGAATAAATAGCACAATTTAAACATTTGAACAAAGAATGAATCGTTNAGAATTTTTTACAAATAAGCCTTGAAATGTCAGCTGTCAAAATATATATATATATATATATAATGATTTAATAGATTTTACAATTTCATAACATATTGACATTAAAATATAAAATTTTAATAAAAATTTATTTTAGGAAGATGAAATGATGATTGCTTGGATTTGGGTTATTGGAATCAGTTTAATATTTGTAATTTCAAGTTCATCTCTAATTGTAGTATGTATTAATTTTATTTAAATATATGTATGTATCTAATTTGAATTATTTGATATTAGAAAGATTAATTCAGATATAAATTTATAAAACTTTCAAATATTTTGAGAAATTAGGATGTTGATTTCATTAATTTGAAATAAACAAAAAATTAATTTTAAAAGTCACTTTAAAACATGATATTTTTGAATCAGAATACAGTTAACAATGTATCTGAACATATCAATATAACTATCAACTAATTTAATATTTTAAATCTATCAGATGTGCAGAAAATTTCCTAATTTTGGATTCTTATAATAAACTTTTCCTTATATTGAAAACTGACAATCTTGGCAAATATAGTATATGGACACATGGAGTTTATTATATTGTATAATAAACAAATTTCAAAATCTTCTGGTAAAATTCCTTTTATTTTAAACTCTGACCATTCATGTTGCAGCAAATTATATCAAAAATATCTGTTTGAGGAGGGGTTGAGGATGCTAGCTTTAACTAAGAGTATTACTATATTCAACAATTATGGATGGTTTCAAACACAAACATGGGGCAGCATTGTTAGATACTTCAACTCTTTGCCAGTTGGACTACTTTTGAAGAAAAGTTGTTGCAGTTTTTTTTGCCAGTATTGCAATATTTTTGCTTATTAAAAACTGACTTTTTATTTCCTATCTACAGATTTCTGACATTAAAAGAAGCTAATTCCTGTGTTTAATGTGCATTTGTATGAGTCTCAGCTAATTAGTGACAACATTATCATGAATCGCACCATTATAAATCATCAGCCTGCAGCACTATTTAAAAATAGTTTACAATAGAATTACGGAGAAATTAAACATGTGTCATACATTTTTAGTTTTGCCTATGCTTTATTAGTAAAGTTTATTTCTAAATGCATTTTTACACTTTCAAAGTCATAACTAATCACTTGTTGTTATTCCTTTCATATTAAATATTTAAAATATAGGTCCCCTCACATTTGTTAATCTGAAAGTTTCCTGTATAAATCTATTTTTGCTATTTTAATTTATATGTGTGGTGACTGTTGGTTTAAATTTCTATAAATATATATTCTATTTTGAAAATCAAAAATTTATTTTTGGAATTATTAAAATGAAGATTTATATTAATATATAAAAATTTAAAACCACAATAATAATAATATTTTTTTATTCTTATTGATAAAACTTTTAAATTTTTTTATGTTATGCAATACTTAAAAATCTTAATAAAGATTTTAATATTTCTAAATTATTTTTTTAAATAAGCATTTTAATTGATTTGAGGATGATAATTCATATACTCAATGGGTATTTTACACATTGAGAATTACTTGCTTTATAAAATATTATTGTACAAAAATTTCATTTTACTTATTAAACAATAACAACTAATGTATAACAATTTAAATGAAGTAAAATGAAAAGCTTTTCATTAGTTTAAAGCATTATTTTTATTTTAAACAATTATTAAAGGGTATCTGTATGTTTTAAATTTTAGAATTAACTGATTAAATACAAGTACAAAATTAAAGTCTTTGGATTTATATAAACATAAAATATTCACATAGTAACAGTAATAAAATGTTGTCACTTTTTTAGAATTTTAATACTTATTTTTTAGTTTTATGTACTTTTTATTTAAATTTTTTGGTAAATATTTTAACCATTTTTACGTAATTTTTTTTGTAAATAAGTTGCTTTATTTTAAAATATTTTTTCATAACATTTTTCTTCTTAATTTTATAAGATGTTTTGTGTATGTTTACACACACAAATTACAGCAAATTAACATTAATTTGTTAGGAATGATTCAAAATATTTAATTATATTAGTATTGCTGAGAATTTTTTTTTTAAAATAAATAGTAATTTTTATATTCTAAAACACTATTTATCTTTTTTTTAGTTTATTCGTCCAAGTGCTGGAGGATCTGGTATACCTGAAATCATTGCATATTTAAATGGAACATTAGTACGTCATATATTTAATATCAAAACACTCATAGTCAAATTTTTATCATGTGTTCTTGCTGTTTCTAGTGGGATGCCTGTTGGACCAGAAGGACCCATGATCCATTTAGGGTATAAAAACTTTAAATTTAAAAAGTCTTTAAAATTTTATGAAATATTTAAAGTTATTAAAAATTTATACTTAATATATATTAACCTTTATAATTTTTATATGGATTTTGTTTAATATACGATTTTAATCATAAATTAAAAATTATTTTTTGAATGAATATAGAATATTTTATAACTGTCAAACATTTTCATCTTAATAATAATTATTAATATGCACTAAATATATTTAATGTAAATTAAAATGTGATTTTTAAAAGTATAACTCATATTAATGCAAAATAGATGAGCAATTAAAAGTATTTTTTATGTTGTTTTAATTATTGATTCCTCCAAATTTTTTATTTAAATTGGTTAATGGAAAGTTTAACTAAAGGCATATCTAACTGCTAATTTATATTGAAATGAAAGTATGTTTAAAAAGGCATCATGATATATTTATTTTTACAGTTATTGAAAAGTTAATTTGTTTTAATTTAGTTTGTGAAAAATGAAATATTTTATTTTTTAGCGCATCTGTTGGAGCTGGTTTAAGCCAGTTTAAATCAACTACTTTGGGTTTTAGATTGCCATTTTTTTCAAGATTTAGAAATTCAGAAGATAGGTATGTATATTAACAGAAATAGAATATATCTTAAAACGCTACTATTTCAAATATACAAGAACATAACTAGACAAACTATAATAAGGATGGCTTTAGAAAATTATGGAATGACCTTACTAGGGTCTGTGGGTTAAGGAGTACCTAAAGGAAAGAGGGTCTAGGAATAGGCCTGTAAAAAATTTTTGAAATTTAATGTAATATTAATAATGTATGTACAAAACAGTACATTTCCTTCCTCTACAGTACATTTTAAATGTTATGATGTCAAAATCTTGAGATAGATATGATTTGGGCCCCAGTGGATAATTAATGTTAACATCATTAATCTACTCCTGCTATTTGGTAGACCCACAAGCTGAATTCACCATAAATATAAGAGAGGCAGTTTCTTATGATTAAAATAGTTCAACTTCTGTATATAGAAATGCAAAGAAAAATTTCTGTTGAGTTGAGTTCAGTTCAACTAACAATATGGATAAAACAGCAAAAACTAAATCTTAATTGCTGAGAAAATATGTACAGGATTTGGATTCTAAACAATTAAAACAGATAGAAAAAGTCTGTGTTGTAATGTATGTGGCAAATTGTTTCCTACTAAAAAGACAATTTTATTGAAACATATACTGTATTTTTATTCATCTTTGACTTTGGGGCACATCTATATGAAACATTATTCTAATAATGTTTTGTGATGTCATAATTTTCAAATCTCTTGTGTCACCTATTGTTTCATGTTTATCCTCTCCCATGTAAAAAGTATGACATAATAGATGTTAGTAAGATTTGCTGGCAGACAGACACATTTCAACTTACATCAGTAATAATATTAAATATTAAATTTAATTATAAAATTATAATTTTATATTAAATTACTGATATTTTAATGATGCAAGTTAAAAGCATCAGTAATATGCAATCTTAAATACACAAATCTGGTTCTTATTGATGATGATCTGTAAATAGACCAAAAATGTTTGATTTGTATTAATTTGTTGCTAGTTTGATGTTGAGTTTTTAAATCTGTTCTACATTAATTTTAAAATAAAATTTATATTTTAATAACTTTCTATTAATCCTACCCATTATAAATTGGCAAACCTCAAAAATACTGTTGTAAGAAGGAAATTGAATTTATACATTCAATTTGTAGGAAGACTATGCAGACAATTTAAAATGAAGACAAATTTTATATGCGACTTTCTTATTTTAATTAATTAGTCAACAAATGATTTAAAAAATAAATTTTTTCTGGAACATAAATATAAACTTATTCAAATATTCTTAAATTCCAATAGTTTTAATAACAGAGTAAAACAAGTTAAACTAGCCACTTTGGTTAATCTAATGAAGTAAGCAATATATCTTTAGTGTTAACCAGGCCAAAAAGCATTATCAGTATCATTTCAACTCGCTGTTAAACCTTACCTCAGCAAAGTAAAACTTTGATATGATTCTGTACAATAAAATATCTGTTGAAACTAGTGCAAAAATAAAATTTAGTAGAGCAGTATGTCAGATAATAAAAGTAACAAATAATATTAAAAAATGCATATTTTATTTTTATAAAAAATAGTTCTCAATTTGATGTGACATTCATTACAGGATAGAAGTGCAATATTGAACAAATTATTTTCTTTTACTATATTTTAAAAGTAATTAAATGAAATAATTATGTTTAAAAAATAGAAATAAATAAATTGATTTATTGTATTTTAATATTAGCTTATTTATACATATAGCATTAATTTTTACAAATTTGATTTTATTTAAAATTGGTTTATATAAGTTCAGATAAATTAAAAATTTAATTGTATAATAAAAGAATAAAAATTTGAATGTTAGAATTCTTAAATATTATTGAAATACAGATATATATTTCAATAATGTATTTAGCATTAAATCATTCTTAAACCTTTATTGGGAAAATTATTTATTACTCAAACATCTTTGGTTGTCTAAGTAGTTATCTACAGGATGCAAGCAATAAAAGGAATAGAATATGTATAGTGGAATACATGGACTTTGAATTAACACAAATATAGAACAAAATAAAAACAATTAAAAATAAAATAAAAGAAACACAAATGGTAATTAAGAGTAGTTATTGATTTTATCCTGAAGATGGCTACTTACACAACCAAAATATTCAATTAGTGAATAATTTTGCTGGTAAAAATTTAAGAGTGATTTAATGAAATATTCAATATCAGTTTGCATAATTCTTATATTTAAAGTTTTTTATTGTTGACAATAGCTTAAATAATGACTGAAAGTGTGAAATAATGATTCTTATGTTACTTAATTTTACTAGATTTTTACTGAATTGTATTTCTATAAAAAAAAGTTTTTTATTCTGAAGTTATTTGAGAAAATTTTTGCTTTAGTCTTTACATTAAATTAAATTGTAATATAAACTATATTTTTAGTCTTTCTTGTAAACTGATAATTAAATTGTTTCAATAAATAAGGAAGTATAATTGTTGCATTTGATTAATCCTTTCAAATACAGGAACTACTATATATTTTTTTAAATGTAATGTTAATTAAATAAATTTAAAGTTAAATATTAATAATTAAGTAATAAATATAAAAAATATCTGTATTCTTAAGAATGTGAAATTGGAATTTCATTAGAGAAAGAGAGCAAAAGGGAAATGGTTTTGTAGATAATGCATATAAATGAACAAAACTTGAAAAATTTAAATGTGTTAATGAATATAATTTCATATTAATATATTTTAATATTTTAGCATAAATCAACATTTAAGGGATTAGCCTCTGTTTCTTAGCTTAATAACTTAATGTATAACAGACCTGTAGTTCTTTTTATGAATTTATTTGTATCTTATAATACATTTTAATATCCATATTATTTTAAAATGGATGTTAATGAATATTAATGTTTTGTGTGTTTTAAATGTTCACTAATGTATTGATATATAAAAAAGTCATTTTAAAATATTAAAAAATTAACTCAAACAATTTTTCTAACGTAAGTAGAATGTTTGTTTAATTTTCTTTAATATGATAGATAATTTTCTTTAGTATAGTAGATAACAATGTTTATATTTAGTAAAATTTAGAAAAATTATACTTGTATTACTGACATATTCTATCTAAGAGCTATCAAATAACTTTATTTAAAAAAATTGAGATTTCAGTTGTTTTGAATAAAGTTATTTGATGGCTCTTAGAAGCTTCAATTGGATGTTGTTGTTAATATGGAGTCATTGTTTCTTACTGTTCTTTAATTACATGTATATTCATTCAATATTATAGGAGAAATTTTATCTCTGCTGGTGCTGCTGCTGGAGTTGCTTCAGCTTTTGGTGCTCCTGTTGGTGGACTCTTGTTTTCAATGGAAGAAGTATCTTCTTTCTGGAATATGAAGCTATCTTGGCAAACATTTTTTTGTTGTATGGTAGCTTCATTTACTACTGATCTTTTTAATTCAGCTTTCACTGCTTTTCGTTATCAAGGAAATTTTGGACTCTTTCGAACAGAAAAATACATTCTTTTCCAGGTATAGCAACAATTTATAAAAAAAAAAATTTAATGTGTCTTAATTTAATGTACTTACAAGGTATTTGCACATTCTAACACATTAAAACTTTACATTTTTTTTTCTAGGTAGAAACAGGTATTGATTTAAATTTTATAGCTCTTATTCCAACAGTTATTGTTGGTATCTTAGGAGGAATTATGGGAGCAATGTTTACATTTATTAATTTAAAAATTGCACGAGGAAGAAGACTATTATTATCATATGTAAAATCTCCTTTGGAAGAAAAATTTGTCAAGTTAATGGAACCAGTACTAATAATGGTAAATATTTTAAATTTCAATAAGTTTTTATAAACATAACTGTATATTATAAACATTATTACTTATTTTAGATTATTATGGGAACAATATCAGTATTTTTGCCAGCTGCATTCAGTTGCAGTCAGTTCACATGTCATTGGGATAATAATTACAAAGCTAGTTGTGATGGTCCACTACCTTTACATACTGAAAAAACAGTTGAATATTATACTTGCCCTGAAGGAACTGAAAAGTATATTAATGGTACACGTTATACTAATGGTACTTTCAATGAAGGTAATTATTCAGTTTCTTTGTTTTTCTAATTTTTATAAATTGGATTAATACAAAATAACTGGTAAAATTATTTTATATTGATTTTTGTATACATTCATATATTTATACATACATATATACATCTCCAACAATTTCTTTAATTTGGGAAATCTTTAGACATCAGTATCTATATATAAATAGTTTTAATAAAAAATTAATTACTGTCAAGAAAAAGAAACCATTGTAATTTGAAGTAATACAAAGCAAATTGATGAAGATAAGAATCTTCAAAAAGACAAATGTGCTTAACTTTCAACTATTCATATGCCATTTTCTTGTACAAACATAAAGGATTAAATTTTGATGCCCCATAGTGCAGAAATTATTTTACTTTTTTGAGATTTCAGATTTTTTGCTAACGCACTTGACATTTCCTTTCAACCGTACCATTTTGTTTTTCTGTAAGAAGTCTGTTTCTTCTCAAAATTTTAAAAGAAACAAAAATATGATTCCAAGTTTGGAAAGAGATCAAAACAGACTATAGACAATTAATAAATCTCCCAGGAAATTTCATTTGGTTCTATACATTTTTTTTTTTCCCGCAATGACTTGAACAATATATT